GTATCTAGGGGACTATGGCTGGCACTGTAACATCAGGAATAATGCCTAATGGAAGCAGTAGAAATGGCACAATAACACCAGTATCATTTTTTTAAAGTGACGGTGAAGCACTTTGAAGGCTGACAGCTGGAACCATGTCACACCACCAAACCACATCATTTTGAGAACACAGCGAACTACTAATGCAAAGATTCTCCTACCATACGGACCACATTTCCACTCTGCACTAAAGCAAATTAGCTCCTAGAAAAAACAGGACTATAGTGAGAAAAGAACTAGAGAACATGATGACATCATCTGAAACCCTCATTATAACTGAATGTACAAATTATGTTAATTGTACTTTATTTGATCTTTCTAGGATGAGGACAATCCCAGCATATTATCAAGCAGTCTAGATGGGAAGGTGCATATTATCAAAAAATACTGACCACACTGTTACCATTTCCCACTTGCGGCTGCCATTTTTCCCATCATGCCATCAGTGGGCTATTTTGGGGTCTTTAAAAGATCAGTAATTTCTAGATTGCTATAGCATCTTAATGATTTGTGAACAAAATCTACTACTTCCTCTGAATTCTCAACTTTCATTTTTTTAAATGTAAGTCTGTAGCTCTTTCTCAGCTAACTAGTCAAAGGAATCAATAGATTGCATCCATAGATCATTATCTTATATATATAATTCTCCAAATGCGTTGGCCATTTCCAGCTCTCCCATTAGCTGTGCTGTGTGCTCCATCAGCCACTGGCCCATCAACCGCCACTCAAGAGTAATCGCCTGCCATGCCATTTGCTGGTTGTTGGGTCTGCTTCTCTTCCCCACCCACTACCATCTCAGCCACTATTCCCTGTCAAAATAACTGCCAAAATGGCTGTCTCTTCTGATGATGACACTTCTCCTGCTTGGCTCCTGTGGGTGGCTGTTGTTAGGCAACCAAGCTTGGTTCTGTCAGTAAAAAGACAAAGGAATGAAGCCCTTTCCAGGCCTTTGTGGGGAACTCATTAGGGTCAATCCTGACTAGGGTTGCCAGCTCCAGGTTGGGAAATTCAGTTGTGATACCAGGCAATACCACAGCTGGTGTGGCACAGCAGTTAGCACTTCAGAGCAGGGTCTGCCAGACCCAGGTTCTTGCTGTGGAAGCTGAGTGGGTGATTTAAGACCAGTCACAGACTTTCAGCCTAACCTACCTCACAGGGTTGTTGTGCAGATCAAAAGGGAGAGAGGCGAATGATGTAAGCTGCTTTGGTCCCCACTGCAGAGAAAGACGGTACTTTTCCTCCTGGGAAACCATTGTTGCCAATCTCCAGGTAAGGGCTAGAGATCACTCAGAATTACAACTGCTCTTCAGATGGCAGAGATCAGTTCCCCTGGAGAAAATGGTGGACTCTGTGTCCTTATACTCTGCTGAAATGCCCCCCCCCCATGACAGCCAGTGTAATGTAGCAGTCAGGGCTTCAGAACAGGGTAGAGGCTGCAAATGGAGGGGGGGAGATGGAAAGCTGAAGTCAGAGGGCCAGATAAAGGTAGGATGATAATTGGCTGGGAAGGAGATAGGGTTTCCAACTCCAGGTTGGAAAATTCTTGGAGATTTGAGGGGTGGAGCCTGGAGAGCGTGAAGTTTGAGGAGGGGTGAGACCTCAACAGCTATAATGCCATAGACTCCACCTTCCAAACCAGCCATTTCCTCCTGGGGAACCACTTCTGCCAATCTCCAGGTGAGGGCTGGAGATCACTCAGAATTACAGCTGCTCATCAGATGGCAGAGATCAGTTTCCCTGGAGAAAATGGTGAGGTCTGTGTCATTTGATACTGCTGAGGTGACCATAGCAAATTGATGCTGAGTGCCCAAGGCCAGGGCATCTGCCCAGAGCCTCTGTCTACAGCTCATTGTATTTATTTCTACAACAAGCCTTATTCCTAGTGACATTATAATGTTACAGTGATCTAGCAATTACTGATTTTTAGCCCCTGTGAGGCAAAGGAAATACAAAAAATAACAATGTGGATGATCAGTTCATATAAGCATCAGTGAGCTACAGAGAGTTGTGACTGTGTGGAAGCAACCCTGGTGATAAAAGCATAAAAGGTTATAATCACAGAATTCCCTATGAAGCGCAGATTAAGACAGGCATTCTCAATATTCTTAACATCCAGAATGTTGGCTTATTTTGAAACTATCTTGGACAGTTTGAAATTATGGAATAACTCTGGTTCTATAGGACACACATGCATATTTTTACATCAGTGAAAAGAGCACTAACCAGGTCATAATTTATCTACAGTGATCAAACAGTGAACTACAATGGTTTTCCTCTAAATTAAATATGTAGCATTGTTGTAAAATAATTTAATAAAATTCTTGAGCCTTTCTTGTAATTATTTTAAAAACAGTGCTCTTTTTAATATTTTACCCTCTTTCATTAATTGTAAGCTGTATCATTAGCTATAAAGTAATTTTTAATTAAAAATTAATTAGTCTTTGGCTATTTTGATATTAAATTTATTAATGTTTATGTTTTGGTATAACTCCCTGCCTACCACTCCAGATTTATTTCAAAGAAATCATAGAACACGTAGATATTGACACTGACTGAAACTTCCAAAGAAGCTTGAAGTCAAGATCCTGGCACAACAAATCATCTTCTCTAAATGGAAATTAGGTGTGTGAGCAATACCATCCATACAGCATGTGAAAAGTGACAGAACCATGAAAACTGTATTATCAAATGTCAGTAATGCATCACCCAGGTTAAAGACTTTATCACAAAATGTGCAATTCCACCTCTTTTTGTTACTGTGCACCTACACTAGTAATGGTATCACTTGTCTTCAGGAATTTCAATCGAGAAACTGTGAATCCACAATGAGAACTAGAGATTTTGTAGAGTCTGGTTTTAGTTTCAAAAAACGCTCCCATATATTTCAAGCTCTTTTTTCATGCAAACTTTTGTGATTCATCTGTCTCGTCTTTTCTGACAAGGCTAGACCCTTGGGGAGGGGCTGTTGATTAGTGGTAGGGAATCTGCTTTGCATGCAGAAGGTCCCAGGTTCAATCCCTAGAATCTCCAGTCAGCAGTAGATGATGTGAAAGGTAGTAGATGATGTGAAAGACCTCGCCTGCATCTCTGGAGAGCTGCTGCCAATCTGAGAAAACTCTACTGACATTGATAAACCAGCGGTTTGATTCAATATATGGCAATTTCATGTGTTCATGTGTCCACATGGAAAACATGGCCAAATCTGTGGATAATTCAAGCCAGAGATTGGAGCCATGAACCGGTAAAACAGATTTTTCTACAAACCAGAAAAAAAACACTGAAACCTATATATACACATACACAAACATTGAGGGGTTAACCCCTCTCTGAAATAACAGCAGCATCTGCAACGTTAAGAAATGAATGCCCTCTGCAGTCATGGGGGTGGGGTTACTAGGCAACCACAACAGTATTGCCTTGGTTCCTGTCAGTAATAGGTAGAGACAGGGGCCAGGGCTCTTTCCAGGGACATTATGGCCTTTGAGGGAAGACTCATCAGAGCCAAGCCTGGCAGCAACCACCAAATGACTTGCTATCAGATCACTTGCATGATCAAGACCGCGGCACAAAAGCCATGGCAGATATAGCTGGGTCAGTGTGGTGTAGTGAAGAGTGCAGGACTAGTATCTGAGAGACCCAAGTTCAAATCCCCAGTTGTGCCATGTAAGCTCACTGGGTGACCTTGAGTCAGTCACACTCTCGGCCTAACCTAACTCACAGGGTCATTGCGAAGACTAAGCGGAAGAGAGGAGAATGAAGTAAGCCACCTTGGGTCCCCATTGGGGAGAAAAGCAGGGTATAAATGAAATAAATAAAAATACATACTGCCTTTCTGCTCTTACAAGGGCTGCCAAGACAGCTAACAATTTAAAACATACATAATAAGATTACATTATATTATTAAAATCAATTTTCCCTCTCAAACATACATCATTACAGCAATATTTAAAAGAGTTTTTAAAAAAGTTAAAATACATACAAAACATTAGTTAGAAAAGAGGAACCATTAGTTGGCATCATGCAACTGGCCTATAGGTTTCCCTGGCAGAGGCTGCCAGGGGGAGGGGAGGAGGAAAAGCTGAATCAGGAGGGTTGATAAATGTAGGTTGGATGCAAAGTTCCCTCTAAGCTATGGAGCCCTGTGAGCAAAAATTCTACTTTGTGAGCTATTGGCATTAAAGTTGTGAGCAGGAGATTTGGCTGCTGCATAAATTAGTTTGTTCTGGAGCCATCCTTCCTGAGCTAAGACAAAAATGTGTGAGCCAGAGGCTAAAAAACTGTGAGCTAGTTCACACTAACTCAGCTTAGAGGGAACACTGGTTGGATGGTGGGTGGAAAGGAAAAGATGCAAGAAAGGAGGAGCGGAGAGGCGCGGGGGGGGGCTTTCAAGGAAAGGAAACAGGAAATAGTGGGGAATGAGACAATGCCCTCAGCCTATCAGGTAAATATTGCAAGAAACCCTATTGAGGAGAGGACCATTTGGTTTGTTTCTGGGACTAGTCCTGTGCCACGAACTTCATGTGTGCGATATTCATTCAACAGGTGAAGCTTTCCACACCAGTGCATATGCAGGCCAGGAAAACCATCTTGAATTTCTGCTTCTCATGCGGCTGTTAAACTTCGCCAGAGGTTAAAAAAAAAAAAAAGTTGGCAATGCCAGCTTCTTGAAAAACAGGGAAGGGCGACCGAACGGACTGAGAAATACGGGCTAGAAGGCGTAACGAAGCCGCAGGGGCACGAAGGGGCTTGACCGCACACACACTTCACAAGCCGGGCAGAGTCATAAGCGAAGCGACCCCTGGTTGCAGAACGCCGCCAGAGCCGGCCCAGCCCCTCCGCACTGCGCGCCGCGCCGCCCAGCTCCCCACCCCTCCTCGCGTTAAGAAGCCAATGGGCGCGGAGGATGTTAGTGTTGGGGAGGTGGCCATGTTGCTATAGCAGCGTTCACACTTGCCTGGGCGGCCGGGAGTAGGAGCCTGAGGGTCGCCTTTGCAAGCCATGGAGGGGCTGGACGGTAAGGGTGCGGAGGGAGGGAGGCTGGCAGGCGGCGGGCCCGCTATGGAAGAAAGGCGTCGGATAGACGCAGCTTAGCTCGGGAGACAAGGCGGGTCGGCCGAGCCTTTGTTTCTAGATTGGAGGCGTGAGGGAGGGGGAGACTGAGGGGCGGTGAGCACGAGAAAAAGTGGGGGAGTCGCGACGAGGTTGAGAGGTTGTATTTTTCCCTGTAGGAAAGGACTGGGTGTAGGAAGCGGGTTGCCTCACACACAGCCCTTACAAAAATGCTACTCTCCATCCCTCTCCCTTTGTTCGGGGGCGGTGTCGGCGTGTGCTGCTTTTGCGGGTTCAGCATCACATACCCTCCTCCCTGTCACTCCCTATTAACAGAATCCGTAGCCAAGAGGCTGGCTGCGCCTCAGACTGTTGAGGGGTGCGGTGTGTGCGTGTTACATGAGTGAAATGGGGCAGATAGTCCAACCACAGGCCCTTTAGTTTTGCTGGACATGTGTCACTGAAGCTAGATGCAGAACGTTTTTTAAAATTCAGTTTCCTAAACCTGATTAGATTTTAAGGGTGTTTTCACGAGTGATGCTAGGATTATTTATTTATTATGTCTGGAATGCATCGCTATGTGCCTACTGGATGGGAAAGGATGAGAGAACCATTTTTAAAGCAACTGTTCTAGCCAGTGTAGGTTTTATATTTCAATTACAGAAGTGGAAAATGCAAAGGAAAGCAAGCAAGCAAAGGAAAAACGACTTCAGTGTCATTTGTGGGAAAAGGCTGAAACCTTTTAGACTTGGAATGAAACCATGGCTGGCTTAAGATATCCTCCTCCGTGATGGAGTGGGGTTTGGCCAGGCTTGCCTTGGCATGGCAGCATTCTTTCATTCCAGACCAATGACCTTTTATGGCTAACCTTGGCTGCTCAGATTTAGAGTTCTTTGGTTTCTTGTTCTTAGTTCTATATATAAAATTAACGTGTGCTTAATAGTTTACCCTATTTTATTGTCAGTATTTCTGCATTCTTATACACTATGTATATGTACTATAATAAAACTTTGAAATTACAAAAGCTAAACCACGACCTGTGGGGAGGGGGATAAAATTACTCTTGTGTACTTTTAGAATTACTGGAGTTGTTGGAGAGCTGCTTAAACCCCTTATTGAAGTTAGTGTACACTGAAGGATTGGAGTCAGTGTCCTTTAAATTACAGAAGTGCTTCTGCAAGTAACTTCTTGTTTAAAACTATATGAAAATAATTTGTATACATGTCTACAAAGACAAGAGTTCCTGGATTCTGCTCATTTAGATCTGTCGTGAAAATAAAAATGTACATGATTTTTATAAAATAGTATTAATATTTGCCTAGGAACAAAAGCAAGAAAAGTAATGACTGATAGTTAACAACTATTAAGTAGGCTGTGTCTCAGTGGCATGCTGCCTACGTTATATCTTGTAGTCCAACTATTAAGTTACAGGTGCTCTTGTGAAGGGTTGAACATGAAGAATTAGTCTTCAGTTGCCAATCTGTATAATGGCAATAATGTAAATAATAAGATTCTAGTAAAGTTTTAAAAATATTTTTAAAGATACTTTATAATAATCAGACTTCAAAAAATTAATCCAGGTTGAAGTATTTGACTTTCAATAGCAACAGTATGTCTGCCAGTCTGGTTTTGAAGCCTTCTGTTAGTAGTATATTGAGCTAGTACACTGCAAAAACATTGTCCTTGTTGGCAATTAGCAAATATACATCCTGCCCCTCAATTTTGACTTGTATTTTTTACTTCCTTTGTGTGGTTCTTGGTGTTACATGAAGAAAATGTTATGACATTTAGATTTTTACAATGCTAATGATCTCCATCCTATTGCCTGTTTGAATAATTTCAGACTAATAGATTCCTCAAAAGTCTTATAGAAGTTTTGTGTTTATACTCAACAGGCAAGGTAAGACCCAAGACGCTTAGACTGCTATAAATCTCAAGACAAGTTTAGTCTTGAACAAAGGTAGAACTGATTTTGATGGGTCATCTGGTATAAAGCCTCTTGAGTACTTTTCAGTGACTATCAGTGCAGTTCTTGTAGAGTTACTCCAGTTTAAGGCCATTGAATTCAGTGGGCTTAGACTGGAGTACTTGTAGAGTAACTCCAGTTTAAGGCTATTGAAATCAGTGAGCTTAGACTGGAGTAAATCTGCATAAGACTGTACTATAAATGTATTTTTACTTTGAATGCTTCATGGAAAAACGTGATTTTTTTCTTTGAACTTTGTATAGTCAGATTATGCCCCATCTATACAGAGGGTAATATGCAGAATGTGGTATTCTCTTTCAAGTTTGTTTGCAGCTATTCCAAAAATTTATTCATGGTTATTTTGATACCAGCTTATGCAGGAAGTCAAAGCTATATATCAGTGATGGCAAACCTTTTAGGGACTGAGTGCCCAAACTGTGACCCAAAACCCACTTATTTATCTCAAAGTGCCAGCACGGCAATTTAACCTGAATACTGAGGTTTTACTTTAGAAAAAACAACTCATACATTAATTTAAGATGATCCAAACAAAGTAAGGAAAGCAATCCCAAATGCTTTCATTTACTTAAAATTATTTGGCAGAGAATTCGACACTTCAATGATGGTCTGGGCCTGCCTAGGGTGATGGCACACGTGCCTACAGAGAGGGCTCTGAGTGTCACCTCTGGCACCCGTGCCATAGGTTCGCCACCACTGCTATATATCTTTCTCCCTAAACTGGAACAAAAGCTAAACTATTATTTCAAAGTCTGAGTTGAACCCAACCTTAATAAAAATTATAGACTATGAATTAGAATATGTGTTTCATAATAATTTGAAGGGCTGTCATTTGGAGTAGGGCAAGGAGCTGTTCCAGTTGGCAGCAGAGGATAGGACCCGAAGCAATGGGTTTAAATTACATGCAGAAAGGTATTGGCTGGATATTAGGAAAAACTTTTTCATGGTCAGAGTGGTTCAAAGATGGAATCAGCTGCCTAGGGAGGTGGTTAGCTCCCCTTCACTGACAGCTTTCAAGAAGAGGCTGGATGAATATTTGTCAGAGATACTTTAGGCTGGTCCTGCATTGGGCAGGGGGTTGGACTAGATGGTCTATATGGCCCCTTCCAACTCTGTGATTCTATAATAAACGCTGTGATAGAAAACCTATGAATTATGAGTGCAATATTTGAACCCCATGCACTCAGGAATTCAGCCCATGTGTTTGCAAATCACTTGCCATCAAGCAGAACTTTGATATCAGGTCAATGCAGAACAGCCTAACATCATTCAGACTTCAGCTGTGTTACATGCACAAAGCAAGAACTTAAGGATCATAACACATACAGCCTAGCCCAGCTGCAGGTTTCAAATTATTTCTAATTCACACACACACACAATTATTTTACAAGTGGGAAATACTGATGATCCCTCCTTCAAAAAGAGTTAGTAGCCATGCCACTGTAAAGCCTTATTTTATATTGATCTTAAAAGATTAATTTGTTCAACTGTTGTTTGTACTACTTTGTTGCTGTAAGGGTTGCTTGGTGCCTAGGCAAATAATGTCTCTGCTCACTTGAATAGACAATGTGGGTCCATTCACTGTGGCTGTGATCTAGGATCTAGAATAGACTGCTTATATGAAAAGGAGGGAAATGCCCCAGAAATCTTCAAAATAAGTATGGTACAAATCAGTGGAATTCCTGAGTGTATGTGTTAAAGCTGCATCATTTTCTGAACCAAGGCAGCAGTACAGTAGAACTCTGTTTTAGGAGTCAACTGTAAAAAAAAAATCATTTTGCCTATGTAGTATTTTCTTAGGATGTTGCTCAGCTTGACCTTTTATATTAGTGAAACTGTAAAATCAACAATTTTGGAACCTATACTGAGAGATGTGAAGGCTCGGGAAAAATACTTGAAGAATTCAGAAGAAAAACTTGTTTTTCTTCTAATTTTGCTAAGGGTTGTTTACTGCCATTGGCCTTTTGCTGCCCCTCTCCAACAGGGTACCCTCCCCCGCACGTACCAACGTTTCAGAGTGAGCTCAACCTGGTTGCCTGTTTGGGGTCCATGCAGGAAAATTTTTTTTGCTCTCTGGCACAACTGGCTACAAGCTATCGTGGTGGGTGTCAACTGCTTTGCTCTGAAGATTGTCGGAATAGACCTGTCCAGGCACTATGTGGGCCAGCAGCCCAAGGTTTCAGATTCGTGTATGGCAGTTGATTGGTATTAATAAAGCTTAGGTGAGCACCCCGAGATGCATCAGTAATAAGCTGAAGGGGCAATATGGTGTCTTCCTGAAGTTGGAACAGGAACTTCTTGAGGGGTGCTATTATCTTTAACCCAAAGACCTTGCAGCTAGAGAGAAGGGACCAGACACACTTCTCTCAAGCATCAGCTTGGCAACGAGGAGCCTTGGGTGATATACAACTTGACTGCTCAGGGCTTGAAGCTGGAGGGCCTTGCCCAGAATACAGGGATACAGGGAAGGCTTGACTCTTCTATATCCCATCAGTTGCCTGCACTGTGATGGTCTGAGTTTTGCCCTTGGATGTTGCAAGTCCTTATGTTGCTGTAAAATAAATAAAGTTGTCCCTTTATTATTTCAGATACGTGTATCAGCTGCCTGCAGTGCAGTAATCTTCAACATTTCCAAGCCCATGATTTGCCTTTAATCGTCAGGCAGCCCTGTAAGACCCACTGACCTGCAAACACGAATAGAAGTGGGCCCCACTCTACAAGTGTGTGCAGAACATCAGAGAACTGGCTGGCACAGAGTGTGGGGGTCAGGCCAGGCTGTGCAATGTGGGGGAGAGGGAGTCTCTGAACCTGTGTGTGCTAAAATGAAATTCTCCACTGCTGAGTGTTTTTGCTTTGTCATGCTGCTTCTCTCAGGCATGCAAAGAGGAGAAGGCAGTGTGGTGTCCTTGCTTTCTGTACATATATGCCTAGCAGGAGATCCTTCCAAATCCCAGGAAAAATATGGCAACTCTTTAATGGTT